TATCAAAGACTTTAGTCTTCCATTTTCTAGTTTTCAAAATTTTCAAAGAAATAAACATAAAAATAATGTTTTGAAAAATCTAAAAAGTTTTAAAAACAAAAAGAATATGCTTTGTTTTATCTTTATTATATCCAGAATATATAAAAAAGCATTTTCATTGCGAAACTTCTCATTATTTTATACGAAAACCACCAAAAATAACGAAACAAACTTTCACCAAAAATTTTATACTTTGTTTATATTTATTTTTTCTTGCCGTTATGGTCTCTGCATTGCGCCACCCTTAATTTATGTATAGAGCAAAACTTTCACAAAATTAGCATACAAAATAAAAAAACAAAAGAACTCAAAAAGAGAAAGTATCATCCACCATGTCCATACAGGTCCGTATCAGCTTTCCTACCTGATTCTCTCCTCCCCACATAAACCACAACACCACCTATACACTCTCCTCCTCCTCCTCTCTCTCTAAATGCTCTCTGGTTTTTAAAAGCTTTCTCTCTCTTTCACAAATCCTTAAATTCATAACTCTACACACACATAACTCTGTGCTTGCGAGCTAGAGAGAGACACTGCAGAAAGAAATTAAAGAGCTTTCAATCGAACCCAGAAAACAAAAAAAGCATTCATTTTTTCTTCTTTCTTTGTTGCTTTTTTTTTTTTTTTCTGCTTTTCTCTTTCTCTCTTTTGTGGGCACAACACAACAGCAAAGTAATGTTTTTTCTTCTCCTTGTGGTAAACTAAGCTCTCTTCCATGTTCATGAAGATGACAACGATGGAGAAAAATCCTTTCTTTCTCTTCTCTGTTCTGTTATTACTCTGTTTCTTCGTTACTTGTTCTGTCTCCTCTGAACCCAGAAACCCTGAAGGTAGATAAAACAAGAAAAAGACTCTTTTTTCATTTGGGTATTCGAAAGTTTCGAACTTTCTAATTTTGTGGTGTTGTTTTGAACAGTGGAGGCGTTGATAAACATAAAGCTGGATTTACATGATCCACATGGTGTTTTGAACAACTGGGATGAGTTCTCTGTTGATCCCTGTAGCTGGACTATGATCACTTGTTCTCAAGACAACCTCGTAATAGGCCTGTAAGTATTTCTATTTTGTTTTGTTTTTATGGACATTAATGGTGAGGTGATAAATTCTTAATCTTTGTCTCTTTGTCTCTGTTTCTCCCAATTGCAGAGGAGCTCCAAGTCAGTCTCTTTCAGGAACTTTATCTGGTTCAATCGGAAACCTCACTAATCTTCGTCAAGTGTAAGATTTTGTTTTGTTTGTTTCTTCATTTTATATAAAAGTGTTCTCCTTTTGTTTGTTTCTTCAACCTTTGTTGTTTTGGATTTTTGAAGGTTACTACAGAACAATAACATCTCAGGCAAAATCCCACCGGAGCTTTGTTCTCTTCCTAAATTACAGACTTTGGATTTATCCAATAACCGGTTTTCCGGTGAAATCCCCGGTTCGGTTAGTCAGCTGAGTAGTCTCCAATATCTGTAAGTCTCTCTGTTTCAGATTATTTGATTATTATTATTATTCAATCAAAGCTTCATCCTCTTTAACTTAAAACCTCGTACGTTTCTGTAATGATTTGATTTTAGGAGGTTGAACAACAACTCATTATCTGGGCCCTTTCCTGCTTCTCTGTCTCAAATCCCTCACCTCTCTTTCTTGTGAGTATATAAAGTTTGGATTTTTCCTTACTTGTTGTTGCATAAAGACTCATGCTTTTTGATGTTCTGGTTACAGAGACTTGTCTTATAACAATCTCAGAGGTCCTGTTACTAAATTTCCTGTAAGGACATTCAGGTAAGACTTTGACAATTCACTTCTTGGGTCTTGTCAAGATTGAGTTTTCTGATTGTTTTCACTGTTGAATGTAGTGTTGCTGGGAACCCTTTGATATGTAAGAACAGTCCACCGGAGATTTGTGCAGGATCTATCAGTTCAAGTCCTCTTTCTGTTTCTTTACGCTCCTCATCAGGTACAGTCATCAGATTCAACAGTCTTGCTTGCTTTTTCATTTGAGTTTATTCATTTTCTCATGAGTTTACTATACCATTTGGTTTTTTGTAGGACGTAGAACCAATATATTGGCAGTTGCACTTGGTGTAAGCCTTGGCTTTGCTGTTAGTGTAATCCTCTCTCTCGGGTTCGTTTGGTACCGAAAGAAACAAAGAAGGCTAATGATGCTTCACATAAGTGGTTAGCAAGCTTGTGGTTTTATTTTAATTGATTTCAAGAAGGTTTTGTTTGTTTGTCTAAAGTGAAATATGTGTTTCTGGTTCTTTATGTAGACAAGCAAGAGGAAGGGTTACTAGGATTGGGAAATCTAAGAAGCTTCACATTCAGAGAACTTCATGTAGCTACGGATGGTTTTAGTTCCAAGAGCATTCTTGGTGCTGGTGGGTTTGGTAATGTCTACAGAGGAAAGCTCGGGGATGGGACAGTAGTTGCAGTGAAACGACTGAAAGATGTGAATGGAACTTCTGGGAACTCACAGTTTCGTACTGAGCTTGAGATGATCAGCTTAGCTGTTCATAGGAATTTGCTTCGGTTGATTGGTTATTGCGTGAGTTCTAATGAAAGACTTCTTGTCTACCCTTACATGTCCAATGGCAGTGTTGCCTCTAGGCTTAAAGGTAATCATAGAACTGGTTTTTGTTGACTGATTTTTAGTCACAGAGATCACTTGAACTAACTTTTGTTACTGTTACAGCTAAACCAGCATTGGACTGGAACACAAGGAAGAAGATAGCGATAGGAGCTGCGAGAGGTTTGTTTTATCTACACGAGCAATGTGATCCCAAGATCATTCACCGAGATGTCAAGGCAGCAAACATTCTTCTAGATGAGTATTTTGAAGCTGTTGTTGGGGATTTTGGGCTCGCGAAGCTACTCAACCATGAGGATTCACATGTCACAACCGCGGTCAGAGGAACAGTTGGTCACATTGCACCTGAGTATCTCTCCACTGGTCAGTCATCTGAGAAAACTGATGTCTTTGGGTTCGGTATACTTTTGCTAGAGCTCATCACAGGAATGAGAGCTCTCGAGTTTGGCAAAACCGTTAGCCAGAAAGGAGCTATGCTTGAATGGGTAAGCAAGCAATTACTATAGATTTAGATTTTAGACCAAATGTATAATCAAAAGATAGTCTTAAAAAACTATTTTTGTGTTGCAGGTGAGGAAGCTGCACAAAGATATGAAAGTAGAGGAGCTTGTAGACCGAGAACTTGGGACAACTTACGATAGAATAGAAGTTGGCGAGATGCTACAAGTGGCTTTGCTATGCACTCAGTTTCTACCAGCTCACAGACCAAAAATGTCTGAAGTGGTTCAAATGCTTGAAGGAGATGGATTAGCAGAGAGATGGGCTGCTTCACACAACCATTCACATTTCTACCATGCCAACATCTCTTACAGGAGTATCACCTCAACTGATGCCAACGGCAACAACCAAACAAAACATCTGTTTGGTTCCTCAGGATTTGAAGATGAAGATGATAATCATGCCTTAGATTCATTCGCCATGGAATTATCTGGTCCAAGGTAGAGTAAATCTTGGACAGAGAGAGAAAAAAAGATACAATATCCCCATGACTTCACTATTTTTGAGTTTATATAGACATGTAAATGGTGATCAATCCAAAATTGAGATTATGGGTCTAATGTTTACTGTTTTGGATGTATATATTTACGGTTTTCTTGAAATGTGTTTGTGTTTTGGTCTCTGTCTCTCTAAAAAACTAGTTAACACTTGTGAAGTTGTGATGTCTTAAAACTTGTGGTCCTGTGATAGCAATGTTTGGTCAAATTCTCACCTTCATGTGTTATTATCAGATTGTTACTGACCTACAACTTATTGATATGTTGACTTGTACTGCTTCTGATCTTTTTTGTTTGGTTTATTTTCTTAAAAAAATAAAAACACACAGAACACAGAGCTGCAGAAGATGTAAAGTACATGATATGTTTTATATGTATTAACCCCAACAACTTTTGCTATTTATAGTCTCATGATCTTTGGTTGTTCTTGGATATTATTTTGTTGTCATCAATTCGTTGTGTGTAGATTATTTTATACTCTTCTTCACATCACAGTCTTGATGCTACTGCACTATCTTAATCTTTATTTGTGCTACAAAATGGTCTCTGTAGTTGTCACTGAAGTTCTGTCTGAGAACAGCAATGGAATCTTTTTTCAAAGCATCATTCTTACTCTTCCTCGTTGTCTCATACTTCACAGTTACCAAATCTGTTAAACCTAGTCGAATGGTGATGAAGCTTATACACCGTGAATCAGTGACTCGTCGCAACCCAAACGATCAGGTTCCGGTCACTGTAAAAGACCATATCAAACATTTGACCGATATTTCATCAGCCCGGTTTAAGTATCTACAGAATTCGATTGAAAAAGAGCTAAGCAGCAGCGAATTCCAGATTGATGTGCATCAAGCAATCCAGTCGTCAATGTTTTTTGTGAATTTCTCCATAGGACAGCCTCCGGTACCGCAGTTTACTATCATGGATACTGGAAGCTCACTTTTATGGATGCAATGTCTTCCCTGCAAACGATGCTCATCAGATCATATGATCCATCCTGTCTTCAATCCAGCATTGTCTTCAACATTTGCAACGTGTTCCTGCAATGATCGATTGTGCAGGTATGCGCCACATGGACATTGCGGCTCCTCAAATGAGTGCCTTTACGAACAGGTATATATAAGCGGTGCTGACTCAAAAGGCGTTCTAGCTAAAGAACAGTTGACCTTAACAACACCAAACGGGAATACTGTTGTGACCCAACCTGTTGCCTTTGGGTGTGGGTTTGAGAATGGAGAGCAGTTGGAGAGTGGGATCACTGGTATTTTGGGTTTAGGAGCCAAGCCCACATCGCTTGCAGTACAGCTCGGGTCTAAGTTCTCTTACTGCTTAGGCGATTTAGCTAACAGAAACTACGGTTACAATCAGCTGGTTCTGGGTGATGACGCGGACATTCTTGGTGATCCAACACCCATTGAGACAGATGATGGTATCTACTATATGAATCTTGAAGGGATTAGTGTTGGGGAAATACAACTCAATATCGAACCAGAGGTATTCAGAAAAAGAGGATCAAGGACAGGGGTCATACTCGACTCGGGCACACTCTACACTTGGCTAGCAGATAAAGCATACAGAGAACTCTACAATGAAATAAAATCCATTCTGGATCCACGATTAGAGAGATTCTGGTTTAGAGACTACTTGTGCTACCATGGGAGAGTGAGCGAAGAGCTAATAGGCTTCCCTGTGGTGACATTTCATTTCACAGGCGGAGCTGAGCTGGCTATGGAGGCCACAAGCATGTTTTATCCAATATCAGAACTAGATACGTATCAAAACGTTTTTTGTATGTCGGTGAAGCCAACCTCAAAACATGGAGGGGAATATAAGGATTTCACAGCTATTGGGCTAATGGCACAACAATACTACAATATTGCTTACGATCTCAACGAAAAAAACGTCTATCTCCAGAGAATCGACTGTGTTCTACTCGATGACTATTCCCCATCAAAGTAAATATTGTAAACATAAAACATCTTCATGTAAAAGGGATTCACAAAGCCTAGGGAGTTTACCAATTTTATAGTTTGAAGAACATTCCCCAATTTCATGTTGTATGTATTCCACAAGAACACACTCATCTCGCTCTCGTCCTGACGACTGGCCCTCTCGAAGCTTTCTTCTCCATCTTCTCTCTCTTTTTACGAGATTTTTCATCTTCGACACCTCCCTACAGAGAGACATGGCAAAGCATTAGCCTTGTTTAAAGCAGTTCACAGTACTTAAACTAAGTTACTCTTACCTCTGAGCCTTGTGACATAAATCCTCGAATAAGACCAGACGCTTTATACACTCCAAACGCAGGTATCTAAACAGCAAACAAAAGATTGCATCATTTTTCTCAGCCAGACCTCTCTACACACCAATCTCAGGTTATCAATAAGCAAACACCAAAAACGAACAAACGTACCACTAGATACATGTACCAAAACTTTCCAGAGATGATAGAAGCTAACTGAACAAAGCAAGTGATATAGATAACATCATGCAAGTATCTGCAAAGATCATCCAAATTATGATATCAAATGCAAAATTCAAAACATGCAGAAGCTAGATCTTGGTTCTTGCATGATCATTTGATAACACATACCCACAAATCCCACCAGTGGTCATGTCAAATCCACCATCGATAAGCTCACCATCATCTGTAACACTAGGTTTCGCCATTTGATTCAGCTGCTTATAAGGAAACGCGTAAGCCACCGAAGTTATCACTAAGCCGATCCAGTGTTTCCAAGTAAAGCTCGAATGATAAATCAGCATCCTCACAACGAAGTACACAACCTGTGTGACCATAAATTACCAAATCCAATTCTCAATTTCGTGGAAGTGAGATCTAATCCATGAAATAATCTGGGAAACGCATAGATTGAAGAGGAAATACATTGGAAGCGATGATGAGTTGACGAAGCTTGTTCATGTGTTTCGCGTTCTCTTCCTTTCGTTTCTTAGCTCCTTGATTCGCCATTGTTGATCTCCGATTCTAAAGCTCTCAATGTTCTTCGGTCTTTATTCTTTTTCCCCGGCGACGCAGAAGTTATGGTAAAAGACGACAACGACGACCATCTTTGCTTCCGATGAATCTTGTCGTATATGGGCCAAGGCCCGTTACTTATCATTATAACAGGCCCAGTTGAGCTTTCCTCATCATATGTCACAAGTTTGGTTCTTATGAAAAGGGATAGAGAAGCAAGCTCTTCCAAGTTCCAAATGATTTCCTCTAGATTGTATAATTCAGGTATGTGCTTGACGCAATTTCCAAGTTTATAAACACATTTTGTTTGAAGGTTTGAATTGTTGAAGCTGTGGCTATGGTTGATCAATTGACTGTGTTCCATAGGTGAAGTGTTTTAACCTGTTGATGTTCTCTGCATATTTGTCTTCTTCAAAATCTCATTTCATTACAAAATTACATGGGGGAAAAGAGCATCTAAGCATTGTTTAAGGTAAGTGTAGATTGGTTTATCAAAAGGTTACAACCCTTGACCAAAGCAGATGAAGATTTGAGATCAAATTGTTGGGGTTTACTGCAATCTTTGAGTACAGGAGAAAGTATTCATGTACACTTCTTACTGATCAGTTTATATAATAAAGTGCAGATCTAACAATAAGTTTCCTCTTAGTACCGAAATAAAGATGACTGGTTGATGCATATACCAAGCTAAGAAGATGATATTAGAGGTTTAAGCATTGTATCCAAAGTAAAAGCACAAGCCATCACATAGGTGGGGTTCATCGCAATCTTTTTAGTACAAGAAAGAGTATTCATGTAGACTTCTTACTGAATCAGTTCAAAATAAACTGCGAATCTACCACCAAGTTTTTCTCAAAACTAGTGCTTAGTACACAAAAAGATGGTTACCGATGAATATACCCGAGCTAAGAAGATCTACCAACTGGTTCAAGAGCTTCAACAGTGACAATGCTGTTTCCTCTAATCACCTGCACTCAAACCAAAGGAGTACAGTTAAACATCGGTTAACCTCAACAGATGATTAATAGCAAGGGACACAAAATCGAGCGAGACCTACCACCATTCCAATGTCGGTTTTGTCATTACCATTCACCTCAACAGTGTTATCCACAACAAGATTCATGAACTGGTCAAACCCACGAAGCGTTCCAGTCACCATTCTGTTAGCATTAAGCTTGACTGCATTCCAAATACAATTCATCAATCTCAACATCTACAACAACGTAATAAACAAAATCTAACTAGAACTACTGTTGCTGAGGGAATTAAAAAAAAATAACAAGAGACTAAATTCAGGAACTACAACTAAAATCAGTAAAAACCAGACCAGGTTTGATTCACAGAATCTTAAATCCTAAAAATTAGCAGATTATAACATTCCTCTATCTCTCTGTCGTGAGAGATAAGTCCTAAAGTTGCAATCAAATCTTCAGCTAAAGGTTATAGAAAACTGAAATTTCCTAAGTAAATAAGTGTGGATGAGGATATTTGAACTTACTTTGGAGCTTCTTATCCATATACCTGCATCGAACGAAACAAAATCAAACAACAGGTTAGACCAAACCAAATCAGAAACAGTAAGATACAGAAACAGAAAGAGATAAATAAGAACAAGGGCTTACTTCTTGAGATCCGGAGGCTGACCTGACCGACTCATGGTTGAAAAATCCGAATTGAGAGCTTTAGAGTTCTCTCTCGTTCTCGGCTTGAAGAAGACTGAGTTTGCACTGAAACCCTAAAGTTTTGATTTTTTGGAAGTCTAAGTGTCAGCGTCTTCGTGTATTTTACTACTTTTGTAAGCCCAAATATCTTTTGAAGCCCAATAAATTGTGGAGTAAAGCCCAAATTTTATGATTATTGTATTTTTGTATTTTGGTAATATGACAAGTAGGTGATATTATACGATGTTCGCGCTAATAGGATTTCTAATTCATAAAGATTATGCATCTAGCAAATTAATCAAATATTTTTGCTTTCATCACAACCACAACATGTGGAGCGACAAATTTAAAAAGTGCAGTTCTCTATTACCACGACATGAAAAAGGTTATCATATAAAATTTGATTTAAATTCTGATGGAGCATGATGAACGATGAGGGCACTTTGATGATATCGCATACTATTTTTTTTAACAACTTAAATCTAGATGGTGTCAAATCAATTATAGTAACACAACTAATTATATTACATATCTTTGTTACTTATAATATATATTTAGATGAACTTAATTGTCAATTTAACAATCTCAAGAACTATAATATCTGCATTTTCGAATTGAAAATTAGTTCTTAAATGGAGAAGTTTAAATTTCACCGATGTAGTTCTTATATAAGGCGACAATGATTTTCTTTGAATATATTATTATGTTTTTTCCATCAGACTCCATCATATTCATATGAAACAAACAAAATCATCTCCCTAATAGGTTGTCACAAATAAAAATAATAATAATACATCCATTGATAAAAAAAAAATGTAAATCTCTAAGATTAAATTGGTCAGAATTTAAAAAATCTAAATATGGTCGAATAGGTTGAATTGGTTTCTCTTGTCTATGAACTCTCCGTTGTTAATGTATTTGTTGCCACACGCAACGATGTATATATGTTAAATGCAATAATTTATATATATATTTTTTTTTCTCCACTTCATTTTTGGTGTTGATTTAGATTCAAGGAAAATGTCGTTTTATTGTTGATAAATATAAACGATAAATGTGGCTTTGTATTTAGTAATTAATCTACTATAGCATCTTTGGAACACTTTTTGCAAAAAAAAAAAAAAAAAATACTATAGTTCACATTTTTTACTCTTCATGCATTTAATGTTTTGTAAGAAATTGATGAAAAACATTTAGCTACTACTTTTATGTATTAAAAAATACATTTTTCTAAATATGTTGTAATTTGATTTTTTTTTTAAACGGGTGTATATTACTAATCGATTTTTTTTTGAAAAAAATTGTTTGTATAATAATGTATTTTTTAATATAAAATACAAATACTGAATTGAGATTACAATATATTAAATAAATAAATAAACAAGCTATTATTATTTTTAATTAACAAAACTGAAATTTTGTATTATAAAATATTTCTTTGTAATTTTCTTGCCCTTTAATTTTTAACAAGCAAAGCCAGCTTGCTTAGGGTGTTGCTAAAATTTTGCTTAAAATATTTAATGTAAATCAACCAAAAATACATAAGCATCGATGCGTAATTTGGGTGTTTAAGCATCACCTAAGCACCACCTACGTGTCACTTTGTAAGTGGGTAAAGGAAAAATAGATTAAAAGAAAAAAGTTTTTCCTAATTTTTTTTCATTTTAGAAACAACACCTATCTTTCCCAACTTGTCTGTGAAGATGATCACTATATTGGTTTTCTAAGATGATTTGATTAACACATGAGTATATTGGCACATCAGTACATTGAGACACACTTTGTGAAGATACAAGCTGAGAAAAGTCCATTCTTAGCTGAGAGACTTAATATTGTTGTTCTTCCCACACTTGCCCTCATTAAGAACACGAAATGTGGATGATTATGTGGTAATTATGATGTTTTACATGGATCTAATGAACGAGACGTTGTACCTAGTGAGTGTTGAAATGGGTTACTAGTAATGTTAGCTTTGTTAATTTACTTCATTCTTCGATATGTTGTTTGTAATGGGAGGTTTTGCACAACTTGGAGAACATCATTAACAAGTGTACTTACCATAATAATGAAACTTTTTATTAAGCACCCATAAAAGGTGTTTACCATTGGACAGCCCAAAATTTGAAAATTTATGTAAAAGTGCTTAAGTACTAAATTTTCATAATTTATTAAAAACAAATTAGGTAGTCTTACAAAGTTGCATCTCTTTTTCATACCTAAATCCAATATTACAAAGTTATAAACTATACACTTTACAAAAAAAGGTTATATTGTACACAAGCTTGAGAGCTTCATCTTCCGTATTCACAATCTGGTTGAAGCAAAAGTATCTACCACAAGTCGAAGTATCTTCAAATGCTCGAATGTGAACGTCCGCTACAAACTCTACGTCTACGTATGCTAACATACCGTTCTCATACATTTGTGCAGCTCTTACAATCACAAATATTGCAAAGCACAATTAGTTTATTAGTTACTATAAATCTAACCAAAATGAATGAACTATGTTTGTATATTGTACCCTTGAGGTAAGAAATGGTGGATCTAGAGTTGTGTTGAGCCACTGATGGTCCAACATAAGCCCCGGGTTAACCGAGACCATGTTGAGCATACGGTCCATGGCTAATGCCCAAGCTGCCTTCTCAGATTGTGTCTTCGCAAGTGCATGCCATAGCTGCACATATACCCACCACACTGACACACACAAGTTTGTTAAAAAAAGATAACTTTATATTCATCCTAAAACCTTAATTTAAAGCAACAGAACGTTACAATTCCTCTTCTGTAGCTTCCATGTCTCTGATCTTCTCTTCAACCATACTCTCCTCCCCTATCACCAAAATCCTCATTAGAAAAGACAGATAAAACAAAAAAAAAAAGAATCAACCTATCTTTGAGACTTGATGTTGATGTTCTTCTTCTATATATAAAAGTCTCTACTTTCCCAAAAACAAGACTTCTTTGAGAGGTCTTGATGTTCTATTTTCCCAACAAAATCATCACTTGTATATAGAAAGTCTTAAGACCTATGAACAACAACAACAAGTCATAATTAAGTCTATTGTTCAAAAAATAAATATCAACGAGATCAACCTCACAACAAAGTTGAAATCATTTTTATGAGTAAAGAAATCTTTTAAATTGGTCTTTATTGTATTAGTGGTGACTTATTGTTTTTATTCGATTAATTTTGTGTTATAAATTGTATTCCTTAGTTAAGTTATCTCGTAAGAAAAAAAAAATGACTGTTGTAATAATATTTTGTTACAGTTGTAATAGAAGAAAATAACAAAAACAAACCCTCTTATTAATTTCCTTCATTAAACTCATATTTTATATGACCGTTATTTTCAATTTCCTTTTCATTCTCTTTTATGACCGTTATTTTCAATTTCCTTTTCTTTCTCTTTTGTGACCGTTATTTTCAATTTTCAATTAAATAATTTGCTTATAAATATTAAAATACTAATTTCTAGTTCTTCTTTAATAGAGAGAAATCAAAATTATATATTTCTTACCACTTCTTTCTTCTTCTAAACCCTAAAACCAAAACTAAGTCATCTCCTTTGTTCATTCCACTCGTCGATTTGTTGTTGTGACTTGTGAGATTCGGTTTCTATGATATAGGGCTGAGATGATGAAGCTGAGGCTTGAGAGGTTGTGGCGGTCGAGGTTTTCTGGTTCTTCTTCTTCTTAGTCGTCTCTCTCTCTCTTTTGGTTCCTCTCCTTCGTCTTCATGGTGGTGCTTCATCTTTCCCTTTCAAGGTACACTGCTCTGTTTATTTTGGATTCATCGTGGCTGAAAAAGCTTGTACCTTTAGCTTTCCTCTCCTCGATTTGTAGTTGTGACGTGTGAGATACGGTCAGATGATCTAGGGTTAGATATGAAGCAGAGCGATCAAACGTGGCTGTCGAAGCTTTTGGTTCCCCTTCTTCTTCTTCGTCGTCGTCTCCCTCTCTCTCTGTTTTGGTTCCTCTTCGTCTTCATGGTGGTGCTCTTGCTTCCTCTTTCTCCTTCAAGGTACACTGCTCTGTTTTTTTGGATATCTCTCTCTTCTTGTTCCTCTCTGACTTTGGAATCTATCTCTGTCTCGATATGGTCTTCTTGTTGTTGATCTCTTGTGTCCAGTTTTACGGGTTTTGTTATTGCAATCATCATCTTTTTTGGAATTACAAGATTTGGTATAGTGCTTAATTGGTTTTATTTGCATTGTTTTACTAAACTTATTACTGAATCTCATGTTGGATTGTGTTTGCTTCCTGACCACATTGAATCACGTGTCTGCAACAGCATACAGAACTCAGTCTCATAGTCGTTATAGCCATATAGGTGTCTATGCCATATACGATTGATGCAAGCCAAACCAATTTGTCTACTTTTTTTTTAGTTCATCAATCATGTTAACCTTTATGATTCACGGTACTGTTTATATTCAACTCTTTGGTTTTGTAATGAGTATTAATAGTTCTATGTCTCAGCCTTTATGGTTCACAGTTTTTGGTAGGTCTAGAGCTTTACAATGTTGATTTCTTTGTGAACTGTTGAGGAGACATTGTCAAATTATATCCCTATGTGTAGACTCATGAGTTTCTCTTTACCATTCCAGCTACAGAAACAAGGCAGACCATGGATGGAGGTTTCAGCACAAAGACCAGCAGAGTCTGCAATTTTTGCTGCGTTAGATGTAGAGCATCACAGATCAACAACGCCAAGTTTCAGTCAAGGATTCGCTAAAGGATCGGCAAAGATGACGACGATGGTCTAGTTGGCTGGTCACTGACAACGTTGGTTGTTTATTCTTGATAGATTTGTGAGTACTCACCACTTTATATCTTACGGGTTTGATTTGCGTTGTTTTATTAAACTTATTACTGAACTCATGTTGGATTGTGGTTGCTTTCCAACCATATTGAATTACGTGTCTGCAACAACATACATAACTCAATCTCATAGTCTATGCCATATACGATTGATGCAAGCCAATTTGTCTACTTTTTAGTTCATCAATGTTGTTGGCCTTATAATTCACCGTATTGTTATTATTCATCTCTTCTGTTTTGTAATGAGTATTCATGGATCTCTGTCTCCTTTGTATCTCCCTTTTTTATATGAGTTTGTGTAACCAGTATCAGTGTTAGAGTTCCCTCTTTTGCTAACTAATAAGGTTTCAGACCCTTGATAGAAGCTGTTGGTTTTACTTCTCTGTAGTTGTTCTCTTGGTTTTTGATTTTGGTTATATTGTCTTTGCAGGTCACTATGATGTTCTCTATTACTATGAAGATTTGATCAAGAGGACTTCCTCACAGTTTTCAAAAAGAAGATGGATCATCATGGAGCATCAGCATTACTACATTTATAACCGAGGTATGTATACTGCTTTACTGGTTTGATTTGCGAGCTTCATTGCATTGGTTTTTTTTAGATTTACTACTGAGTTTATATTGCTTGCTGTACCACATAGACGTGTCTGCAACATACAGAAATAAATCTCATAGTCATATATGCATATACCTTTGGAATGATGTGTCTTTGTGTCTTTGTGTTATACGTTTGCAATGTTGTGTCTTTGTGTTATACTTTTGCAATGCAGTGCAACATATACGTTAAAAAAGTGTGTGTGTGTTTGATGTGTCTTTTGATGTTTCTGTTGGTTTCCAAATGTTCTCTACAGTCTGCAATTTTGATGGTGAAATTCAACACTTTTGTTTCAGGGTGAATACTCATCAAGGTTCGATGGTACTTACGATTTCACAGGTATATTCTTAACTTTTCTAATTTTTTTAAATTAAAAATAAATTAAGAACAATTCATCTAACTTTTGAAAATTAAAAATAAGAACTTTTAAATAATAAAAATAAAATATACACTAAACAAAAAGAGATTTTATATTTTTCATTTCTATTTTTTCTGATTTAGACTAAAATTCAAGAGCTTTTAAAATCAGGTTTCAAGTAAAGTTTAATTTTTGATAAATCAAAATGTTCTTTTTGGGTTAAAATCTAAGTGTTAAACTTAAATACATTGAAAACAAACCGGGCCGAGCATCCAGTCCCTTTGTGGTACGTCAGTGGTGTATAAGTTCAACATGTTTTCGTGTATTGTAAATTTAACACTTAGGTTTTAAGGTTTTTAATAATTAATACTTTTAAGTAAAGGTTTTTAAATTTTTAGGTATTAAATTAAAATACTCTGAAAACATGTTAGACATAGCACCCAATCACTAAGTGATCATTGTAAATCAGTTTGGTGTATATAAGTTTAACATGTTTTACGTATTTTAAATAATAAATTTAACGCTTAAAGTTTTTTATAGGATTTTGCGCATTACAAATAAACCATTTAAGTCGTCAATTTTTGAAACTCTACCCTCCATATAAAAAAAGCAAAAAAATATACTAAATCAAAATTTATGTATTATTTTAAACGATTTTACGGTTACATACATTTATTTATTTCTTAAAACTTCTATTCTGCTGACTTCTATTTTGTTAAGCCTTCAAATATGTCTTTTGTCAAGCTTTCTATTCTTTTTGTTAAGCCTCCCAAGATGATGACGACGACAACTATTGTGAGGTATTAACAGAGGTTGTTGTTTTTACAACGAGGCAATTATATGATTAAAACTATCTCTTAGTTTTCCATAATTCTAGTATGTGATTGTTATATCAATAACAAATCGTGTGTCAAACAAACATTTTGGATTTCTCAAGTAGAATTCTCGCAAATACACAAGAATTTTTGAACGATGCCCATTTGAGAAACGTGATGTAGTTTTTCTTACTGACTGTTCACACTTAGTGAATGTGTTTTCTCCATTCCAGTGGTCGACATTTTCTACTTATCTCGAAGAATAAAAACCGATAGAGAAGGATTTTCATCTTACTTTTTAAATCTTATCTCTCGTCTCTTCTCTAACCCTGTAGTAGCATGTCTTCACTAACCCTGTAATCAGCGTATTTTATTTATTCTCCAAAAAAAAAATTGTTATCCAAACAAAAATTTTAAAGCGGATACGTTGACTCCAAAAATGTGTACCATAGCGCATCACTTTTGTAAACAATATTCCCACTTGGATTGCAAATCACTATATTTTATGGGGAAAAAAGGTTTTCAACATCCAAAATGTTTCGATAGCGACAGATCACTAGTTTTCATCAACATCCAAAATGTTTTCGATAGCGACAGATCACTAATCTTCATCAACATCCAAAAACGGAAAAATTGGTAGCTTCGATGACGACATATTTAATTTCTTCTTCCATTAGAGTGACTAACTCATTCTTCACAATTTATCTCCTTATTGCTCTTAACCTACAAAACAAAACAAAAAAAGACTAAATTGACGATTATCCACAAGTTTTCGATTAGTTAATATATTAATTACAGTTTGAAACCTATTAGCCGTCAAGATCTGTCTTTATATTGCATTAGATAATCATTAAGTTCTATCTTTATATTGTCTGTGCGATTCTTAGTCATGTCTAACAAACATCACAACTTGAGAAAGACAAGTGTGGATAAACCCAATACAACCAAAATGTGTGGATCGTATTTTAAGATATAGACACTCATCATTTATAACATGTTTTGTATTGTAGAAAATATAGTATCTAATTGATGAATGGAAAAAAGTTAGCTATACACACTTTAAAGTTGACAGCTCATTCAATTACATCAAACACATGTTAACATTTATATTGTCATCTATCTTAGCTTGCAAATGTGTAGAGTCTTGTAGCATTCCATGATTTATACAATATTTTTTTTTGTTATTTGTTGCTAGCTTGTATATCATAACAAAGATTCACATTTCTATGAGTAACACATTTTTATTAAACTTTTTATTTCAAGTAATAAATATATAAAATACAAATACTGAATTGACATTACAATTTATTAAATAAATAAATAAACAAGCTATTTTTTATTTTAATTAACAAAACTGTAAATATTTTTTTCTTAACATATTTCTTTGTAATTTTCTTGCCCTTCAATTTTTAACAAGCAAAGCCAGCTTCCACCAGCTTGCTTAGTTTCTTGTTTCTCAATCTCTCTTCATAAACTTCACTTCCTTGCATCTCTTTCTCATACCTAAATCCAATATTACAAAGTTATAAACTATACACTTTACAAAAAAAAAGTTATATTGTAAAAAGAACAATAAACATATGTACCTTGGTGGCATAGGTATTAAAGGTGATAGAGTTTGCACAAGCTTGAGAGCTTCATCTTCCGTATTCACAATTTGGTTGAAGCAAAAGTATCTACCACAAGTCGAAGTATCCTCAAATGCTCGAATGTGAACGTCCGCTACAAACTCTACGTCTACGTATGCTAACACACCGTTCTCATACATTTGTGCAGCTCCTACACATTGTCACCATAATTAGATTATGATTTATTATACATCTACCTATCATGAATGGATATGTTTGTAAAATTTATAATATGTGTACCTTTGAGGTAAGACATGGTGGGTCTAGAGTTGTGTTGAGCCACTGATGGTCCAACGATTAGGCCCGGGTTAACCGAGACCATGTTAACCATACGGTCCATGGCTAATGCCCAAGCTGCCTTCTCAGATTGTGTTTTCGCAAGAGCATGCCATAGCTGCCACACACAAAAAGTTTGGTACTAAGAAAAAACTTAACTTCATCGTAGAATCTTAATTAAAAAGTAATTACAAAACTAATTGACTAGTATTCTAGATTATGATCTAGGTTGGATTTAGTTAAGAGGGTTGACCTATTTAATATTTTATTAAGGCAGTCATACATTGAATATTGACCAAAATGATTCTAGATAAACACATGACATATGTCAATACATTTTATGAAGAACCATTTAATTATAAAGTTCTAACAAAATTGCAATTTTCAAAACATGATTAGTTAATTAGACTTTTCAGATTGATTGATGAAAAAGTGCATGAAATAATTGTTCAGAAACCTATCATATTTTACAAATCAGTGGGTCCAATATGTTTCTGAATCTTGAACTTTTCAAGAAAATGATAATTAATATAAAAAGTATATAGTCGAAATAAAAATAGTAAAATACTAATATTACCTTCTTTTTGAGACAAAAGTCAAGATCACTCCAAGACTTCTCATCAACATCTTTCTGAGTTCCAATGTTATCTCTCCAAATCGCAGCAGTCAATGAAGATGAGAACACAATCTTCTCTATACTCTCTGTTCTTGCACATGCTTCCACCACATTGATAGCTCCTCTCACTTCCAAATCCACTTCCTTCTCCTCCTAAACACAAAATCTCAGTTTTACCAAACCATAAACAAACAGAGAAGTGATAGAAGACAATACTAAAACTCACATTGTATCCTTCAGGGTTGTCTAAGCAACAGAACACAGCGTTACAGTTGTTGAGAGCAACGAGTATGCTTTGGTAATCTAATACATCAACATCATAAACCTCTAATCTCTCTTCTGTAGCTTCCATGTCTCTGATCTCTTCCTCAAGCATACTTTCCCCTATTACCAAAATCCTCATGAGACTTTGTATTGTTCAAAATCAAGATTTGACTGTAACCCATTCAAGAACTTAAACCCATTTCACCAAATTGGTCAAAACCAATTAGAAAAAAGGTTAAAAGGTTAAAACTTTACTGTACCCAAAAGAGAATTTTGAATGGTTTTTTTACCGTTTTTACGGATAGCTGCGTGAACAGAGTAACCTTTAGTGAGCAATCTCTTGAGAATCCAGAAACCAACATAAGTGGAAGCATCAAGAACACAACAACAAGAAGTGGGATTTTCTTGATTCATCAGTTTCTTCTTCTTTATGTTCTTGAAAATATCTTGAAAAAGTGAGAAAGAGAAGATGATATTTTTGAGTTATATAGAGAGAGACGCGTGAGGAGGAGAAGAAGGGGAAGAAGTAATAAATAGGAGAAAGGTGGGTGAACGATATAGTATATAACTCATCTTCACATAATCACATTTGTGTTTGGTAATCTATTGAACGATGGAGAAACTGAATAAATGGTTCTTTAGAACGCCACTCATTTTTTTTATTAGTATTTTATATTTTTTATGACGACAATTTTTATATTAATTACTTCAATATTTTTTTTTATTTTAAAGAAAAACTAGAAACTAGAAGAACTTATTCTAAATTTTGTAGATGATTAAGAATTTTAGAAAGAAATTTCAAAATAAAGTGATGTATGTAATGAACTAATTTAAAGGTTTGCGCTGACAATAAAATCGATCCTACCAAAAAAACAAATGACAGTAAAATTGAAATTAGAGAATTTTTGACTAATGCCTTTTTGCAAAAGTATCTTTTGTTTTTGGCCATTTTCATTTTTATCCTATTTTACATAATTAAAATAAGTTATAATATTTAGATTTTGTTTTTAGGTTTGGTTTCTCTATTTTACATTTAGGGTATAGTTTTGAAGGGATAAAGTTTAGTATTTAGAGTTTTAGTTACTTTGTATATAGAAAAATAGTATTTTTCTGAAAATAGAAAACAAGAGAGGGTATTTTTGCAAAGTTGTACGGAAAAATGTATTTTTGCAAAAAGGCATTAGTAAAAAATAAAAATACTGTTTAACTCAAACAACTCTTAGAGAAAAAAAAAACCATAAAAATGATATTTATAATAAAAATACATATACAATTGAAAAAAATTAGTGTGAAAAGACGCAGCTCTAAGTAGAAAAAAAAATCAAACACACAATTCTTCGTAAAAACACAACCATTAAATGTGATAGTTAAATCAAATTATAACGAAAAGACGCAACTCTAAGTAAAAAATAAATCAGTCAAAAATTTACTATGATTAGAACCAATGTTGCAAAATTATTTATAGCGATAAAAATATAAGATATATTTTATGAAAAAATTATAGTTAAAGAAAATTAAGGCGAAGAGACAAGATTTATAAGCTAAGTAAAAAACATATATAAGATATATGTTACGAAAGAACAAGATTTTACAAAAATAATTCAGACAGTGGTTAACATAATGAGTTAAACAATCGAAAATATCCTTCACTATAGTTTTTCTCAAGTCGTATCTGTTTGATGAAGTGGTCCCTAAAATGATGGTATTTTTGCATATTCAAATTCTGTGTGTTTAGGATAACTGAATTACAAACAAAACATAAACATTGAAAATTCTCAGAAGATTTATCAATAGAAAAACACAACTTGTATAGTTGTATATATATCACCTTATACACATGAAAGATGGTTAATATATATGTGTCTTTACCTTAATTTTTAACATACTATTTAATCATTTAAAATTTATAAAGCATAAACAAGAAATAGTAATTTTATTGATTTTATTTTTGAAAGAATCTAGCATTTCTCAGTTTTCAATAGTTTAATTATGTGTCCATTAATTATTTTATTTTATTTTGCAAATCAATTTATTATTACCTTATCTATTATTTTTTATTTTCATATATTTTTATAAAATAAATGTAAAATCATTTTTACTCATGAAATATATTATAATGACTAATATAGAAGATATGTTCATGAAGCTTTCGTGTTCTATTTTTGGAATATGTATTAAGAGGCAAGGCAAGGAATGATATGTAAATTGTAACCCATACTAGAGCTGTATATCTCTACTTAAATATGGGAATTTTCTTCTTAATTGTGAAATATTATAGCTTTTAAGGACTGATGCCAAGCATTTTATTGGTTTACGAAATCATATAATCCTCTTACATATCATTATTTAAATAGAAAGAAAAGATTTTATAACTCAAAAATATGTTTATAAGGAAAAAAATCATGATAACACATTAATGTCTAGTATTTGTGAGTCCTAAGCTTGCTTATAAATAGATTAACGAAATGCCACAATAACACAAACAAACAATTATCTTAATAGAAAAGTTTAGAAGAAAACTAGAAAACGTGAAAGCATGGAGAGGACACTTACACTTGTATCCTTTGTTAGCCTACTTATCATATTTGCCTCAGGTATTTTTCAAGTGTCATGTTTCTTTTACTCCTTTGATATGTTCTATAAAAGCTTGGATTCGAAGTAATATGGTACACAATGCTCTAGTTGTTGAACAGGCAAGAGCAGGTAAATGCAACGAGGTCGTAGGCCCTTGCAACGCCGGATGTGACCAAAGATGTAAGGCCATGCACGGGCCATCGTGTGAAAGCAAATGTGAAGGTATCCTTGGGAATTTGTCGTGCACATGCGTTTACGACTGTTCCCGAAAGATTTGCAATGGTGGCCTTGGCAATTGCGGTGTAGCCTGTAATAATCAGTGTTGTGATGCAAAATGCGCACAAAGATACAATGGTGGACGTGGATTTTGTAACACCCTTTTTGAATTTAGTGTGTGCCAATGCAAGTTCCCTTGCTAAACACGAGGCTACAAATTTTGTAAAACCATAAGATGTTCTTTTTATTTTGTAACCGGTAACGTCAATAATATGGTAATAAATTTGGTTTTCAGAAAATCAACATTTTAGTTTCATATAAGTATTCATCCAATAACCATGTGAATATGTTTGAGGTATGAAATTGTAAGGAGAGCGTAAATATGCATTTCTCTGAATTTTCAATTTAATTTTTATTAGTTTTTCTTTTTTCAATTTATTTCAGCGGAAAGTTTTCTATTTCCAAAAAATGTATATATATTTACATATATATTGGGTTGATTAGAATGACTTTTTTTTTAGGAAATAAAAGTCAATATAGAATATGTTTATAATTATATAATATCAAAACAATTATAAAAAACTGAAACATTTTTATGGTCAACACCAAATTATGACAAATGGTTTATTGTAATAAGATGGTCGCGATGTTGATTACATATTATCATACAATTGATATATATATATATATATATTATATGTAGGTATTCTATACATTTATTTTGTGCAATTAATTTTTAATTTTAAATATAAGATGTGTGGCCATGTTGTTTTGTTATATTTCGTATAGCTGACTACTTGTTTCTACAAAATAATCATGAAACGATAAATGCATAACCATTATCCAACTAATAAAACATATATATATATATATATACCAGAGAAAGAAAAATATTAAATCTGTTTGTTTTGTCGCCATAGGCATCTGCGGGCCTGCGGCTGCAGCGAACACATATGTTTCTATAGTTTGGATTGCCGTAGGTTGCTGCACTCGGCTAATACTATGTTCTACAGTTATAATTTTAAACGTCGATTTAATTCAGTGGTCAAAAACGTTGCGTCGACCGCTATTGCAGTCCACCACTTGTGGCGACCAAACCAACGTGGCAACATAAATAAAGCCCACACATAAAAAAGCTGCAAAAAATTAAAAAAATAATAATAATATTGGTAGTTGACGCTTGACAACAAAGTAGCTAGAAATTAGTAGGTAACGATTGTGGTGGAGAGATTATTTGGGATTACACCGTGAGTGAGCTTCATCCTAGATAGGTACAACAATCAAAATACATATACTTTGTGCTAAACGAACGAGTAGAGCAAACAAATTTTAAAATATCTTACAATATTAAACAAAATTGGATCATTTATATAACTTTCTAAACAAAACTAGTTATATAAAAATTGTAAATAGATAACAACGAGTAGAATAAACGCAGTTTTAAATATCAACTCTTGTATAGATGGTAATATAGTTTTGCAAACATAATTAACTACAACATTTACAATTTTTAATTATAAACATACAAAATGTTTATCATACTCTTCGTATCAATTAATTCCAGAATTTGATTTAGTTTCACTAAACTAATTTGTAACTTTGCAATTCAAACAAAATAATTTGTAACTTTGTATTTATATTAAAACCAATATTGCATGTACCTCAGCTTTATACAATAAAGGCTGGGACGACATTGTTATCTAAGGAAATTAATACACTTCATTGTTACAAGACAATGTATACATTTATAAGCAAATAAGTAATATCTCAGGAACAATCTCTAAGCAGAGCATTTGTTCAGGACAACAGATTCAATAGGAATCTTATCAACCGGAAAAGCACAGTCAACTGGAGCTCCATTCTCCGGCAACAAGCTACACGGCTTGGGCGTCACCTTACTCGAAACCCCGGAAATGTCCGTACAATTCCACAACAACTTCTTTGGCTCAGGAGCCAAAGCAATTTTTATATTCGACATACATATCTTTGTGAAAGGATCGTTCTTTAACCCGTCTAGCCTTGCGGGTTGAGTGACATTATCTGCGGTCATGTCACGGTAGTTAATGTTTGTAATCTGAGGCATAGCCTTGGGATTGAACCCTGAAACAGGGTGTTGGTTGTATGCACCACTCATCCAGAAAATGTACTTCATGGTTTTCATCGTAAACCTTCTTGTGAAAATGTCTTTGACGTAACCACCACGACCAACCGCGGTTTTGATTCGGATAGCGGATTGTGTCTGGAGTAATGTAATGTCTTCGATTCTAACGTCTTTGATTCCACCGGACATTTCACTCCCGAGTGCTATTCCCGCGCTGTCGGGAGATATGCATGTGAGCCTTCTGATCGACAATTGCTGCGTTGGCATGCCGACTTTGATACCAAACTGATCCCAACCGCTCTTCACAGCAATGCAATCGTCTCCGGAGACTACATAACAGTCTTCTATCAAAGTGTTGGTGCATGAATCTAATAACAAATAAATCGAAGTGATTAGAATACAACAACATAAAAATGGAATAAGCAAATGCAAAATAAATTATAACTATTTGATATGGACTTACCGGGGTTGATACCATCGGTATTAGGAGAATCAATAGGAGCAAGAATGGTAACGCCTTTGACAATAACGTTGTTGCAATACACGGGATGAATGTTCCATGCAGGCGAATCGATGATCGTAATGTTTGAGATCTGAACGTCTTTAGAGGATATGATTTCGATTGTGTAAGGTCTTGTGATCGACTTAAATCCACCACTCCGATACTTCACCCACCAGTATTTCCCTTGCCCGTTGATCGTTCCATTGTTACCTAACCAAAACACATAAATTTGATCAATTCGTCTAAATTAAACTAAAAACATACACACTTCAAGATCTTATAGAGCATTGATTCTTGGTCGTTAACGATTGTTATTAGCACCAAATTGTATTGTTCGTCTTAGTATTTGACTAATTATTAAAATATTTGAGTTTGTTGTCAAATTGTTCAAAATTTATTATATAAGTTTTGATATGACATTGTATCCATTTTTTGGGTAACCTTACCGGTGATAACAACATCAGTTAGGTTTGTGCCAGAGATCAAACTAGCAAATGTTGGTCCTGCTGCATCTCGTCCTTGACCGTATGATGGCAAAGGTGCAACCACTGGATATTCAGATTCATCCTATTTTTTAAAAAACCATAAAAATAAAATTAAACATGTAAATGAATGAATATGCGCAAAATATTTATCTAAATTAAACTTTTGTATAATACAAGATGGAAACCATACCTGAGAGGCAAGAATAGTTGCACCTTTTTGGATGAACAAAGTAAAATGGCTGGTGAGGTTGAAACTTCCGGTTAGCCATTTACCTGGTGGAACAATGAGTTGCACCCCGCCATCGGCTGCCTTTGGAGCAAGCTTGGTAATGGCTTCTTTAAACGCTTTCGTGTTCGAGGTCTTTCCATCACCAACTGCTCCAAATTCCGTCAAAACAGCGCTATGTTTTCGACAATTCAACGCCATATACTCAATATTTGCTTGTCCTTTGCTGCCTAGATCCCGAGATTCCATCGTCGAAAAACTACTAATAGCCAAAACTACTAATATACAAAAACTTGTCCGAATCATCTGTTTAAAAGAAAAAGAGAAGAATCATGTTTTGTGTTTTTTTTTCTACATTCAAAATTAAAACTCGCTACAAAATAAGTTTAGAAGGATGTAATAGTTTAAAATCGCGTTTACCTTTAGAGTTGAAGGTTTCATAGAGAACTCCATTTGATTCTTCTGGCTTGGTTTTTGCAATTTGTGCTTAATTTTGTTTGTCTTAATACAGAGTAAATTTATAGGAGAACAATATAGAGCCAAACATGCTTAAAACTCTTATGTAAATCTAGGCATTGAATTGAATTGCCAAAATAAGTAAAGCTAAATAAAGGTTGAGAGATCATGTATTAATCTTATTTTTTCTTTAGATTTCTGTTAATAGAATCCAATTTAAATGTAGATAAAGACAAACATTTCCCGTTTTAGTAGAAAATTAGTCCAACTTATAAAGTTTGTAGATCTTAAATTAGGTTTAGTTGACTGAATAAAACCTTTAAGGCTCTATAAGCTTTTTACATATTTAGATTAAGAAGCTAATCTCGTATTCTTAGGTATTGGTAAATTATGTGATATGTATAGATTTATTAATTCAAGATTCTGATCTCACATAAATAATTTCAGAAATATAATATAAAATAAATAAATAACCAGAAATATATTCCACAATCTCTATTACATCCTTTATTTCAAAATTATGGAAATGAATGATCAAAACAGTGATTTGATACAAAAGAATCATCATCAGCAGAAAGAATCTGAGATTGATTTTGTAAACCTTTTCTTGTTGTCCTATGGCAATTGGAAACACTAAAGCTGCTTGCTTTCTTCTTCCGATCAAACTTCGGACACAAGAAAGATTCCATGTATCGCAAAATGATATGTGTATCAGTTCTTAAAGGAATGAAACCTGTCTCAGGTTCCGAAAAGGTTTGAAGCCACCTGAAACCAAATAGTTCGATCGTAAAGTAGACAAGAGTTTTGGTTAAGCTCTATAATTTCAAAATTCACAAGTCGAATCCATCAATAAAAAAATCTGAATGAGGTTCTTTTAAGGTTCGCGGGCATGCATACCTTGACATGATGTGGCATGATCTTGATATCGTAGGGAACGTGAAGCCAAGCTTCGGGTCGGTATAACAGAAAGTTCTCAGGTTTACTGGTGTAAACGTCTGCGTATTGGTGGATGTGATAAGAGAATGCTGATTCTTGACCAGTGTCTGTGACAAATGTAGCTCCGAAAGATCTGTTGAACATTTGTTTCATTGTGTCTCGTGCTCTCTGTCTTGCATTGTTCAGCTCATCCAAAAGAGATTGGCATGCTTCGCTTTTCTGGTTGGTTGATACAGTCGCGTGAAATCTACCGAGTAACTCTTGGATAATATGGAATTTTGCCTGACCAGAAGCCATAAAATCGATCTTATTAGACTTAGTAACGCATAGGTCTCTGTTTTAAGTAAAGTATCTACGATTTTTCATGTGGCTAAGTACTTATGGCTTAGAGAGAGATGTATAAATCCTATAACCAGAAAGCCATTCTTGAGAAGTGAAAAGGAAGCTATGACTATACCTGCTCAAACCGGTAGCCATCACCATTTTGTATCTGTATCTCTCTCTGAACCAAAAGACATCACAAAGAGAATTCAGTACACAAGGTTGGGTTTTAAATGATGTACAAACACTTATGAGAATACTATCAGCTGAAAGGCTATTTATGAAGTAAGATAAACTAACCTCGAGCTCATGAATTATGGCAGCAGTTCGCCAACCAGCTTTTGAAGGCCCTCTTAGATCACTAAATAAGTGATCTCCGAAATAAATCACCTATTAACAGAAGACGTTGTAGTCAGTCTTTAAATGCATTCAAAAGCATGAAGTTACAAAATGGAATATATCAGCTTGACAGCTTGTAGTAAAGAGTACCTCAGGGCCATGCCACTTTGTGATTTGAAGGAAGGATTTAAGACAGCCATGGTAGTAAATTTTCTTTGGATCAAATGCATCCACTTTTGTAAATGCCAAATTATCCCTCTCAGAATCGTAACAACTACAAGGATTAATAGCAATAAAAAGAGTCACGCGATCAATTCCACATGACAAACAAACTTTACACTAGAACACAGCATCTCTGAATAACGAAAACTTACCGGAAAGGGTGCTCAGATGTATAAAATTCTGGTTTATTTGCTTTAGCAATCACAACATCGAAGAGCTCTCGCCAGGAATCCCTGAGGCCAAAAGAGTCCTAACGAACAATAAGCACACAAATAGAGGTCAAGAACCACTTCCACCCAAAAAAAAAGAAACTTCAGAACTAGCTCTAAGAACACTATAGACAACTATATAAAACTGAAGAGTGTTGAACTTAATTGTCCCTAGTGCTATTCAAACGGGAAAACAAAAGAGTTTTATGGCTATTCAAATGTGAATCACCTCCATCAGATAGCGCATTCCACCATCAACAAAATGATATGGAGAGTTGGTCAGCAAGAAAAGTTTCTTTCCTTTATCTTTTAGCATTCTCAGGAAACGTAGAAGCTGACCCTGAAAAGTAAATTGCTCTTCAGAAATATAACAATCAAAAGTAATATAACAAGTGAAGATAAATTTAAGGACTTTCACTTGCATTTTTCAGCAAATATCTGTTAGGATCCGCAAGTATCCCTCTATGAACCAATCCACTTCTGTGGACATGTTGAATAGCACGATTGACATCATTGTAGATGTTAGAAGCATCAAACTCAAGTTTGGCGTCAACAAAATATTGGACCATGTCTGCAATAAGACAAGCCTGGAAAAAAGGTAAAACAAAGATGCTGCTATCAGATATGACAATACCACGGTTCTCTGAAACAGAACCAAGAATGATGTATGAAAGCATTTATTGAGTTATTAAATTCACCTCGCTGAAACAGAAGAAATCCATCAATCCTACCAGACCTCTTGCTTGATCACGACCTATGTGTCGTGTTCCATACATGCTCTCTATTTCCTCCCTACTTAGCTGTACAGTGTACAATAATAAAAATGCCAAGGGATCAGACCCTCCATCCAAAAGCAGCAATTTCCAACATAAGAGACAAAATCCGATAAAAGAAATACCTTACGACGACCAAAATAACACCCATCTGGCTCAATAGATCCAAAGAAATCCAATTTCATGAGGCATCCTTTTTGTTTATCATAGTACAACCCTCGGATGGGAAAAGTCGGATCATACTTAAACTGGACGCAAGCATCAGGATATCTAAACTGCAAGAACGAGAATGAAGAAGAAGTAATCCTCAAAACCCAAAAAAAAAAAAAACATTTTGCTATTAAGAAAGTGCCATAAGAGATTCTACCTCATTAACCATATGCTGCTTGGCAAGATCATAGATCAAACTCTGCAAGTGAGAGGAGTAGTGTGCCAAAGTGTAATCATAGTCAAATCCATAAACTTGTATATTATCCAATCTCAGATTCTTATTAACATATATCCCTACACAAAAGCATCATCATCACCCAAACTCAATCAGTAACAAAGAACACAATCACAAAAACCAAAACTAGTAATGTTATATGAATAGCTCACTCACCTTGAGGATTCATCTTAGGCATACTATTAAGTGCTTCAGGGATATTAAGAAACCTCTGTTTCGCCAGCTCGAACTCTCCCCGGATCTTCGTGATCTCTTCATCCACATTAGAACATTCCGGCAACGCAACGGCGTATCTCGCTTCTAGATTAGCTAACGCCGACTCCGACGTAGTAACGGTGGCGCATCCTCGGAAACATTTTAGAAATCCTGAAGGCAAAATTCAAACGATCTTAATTCCTTAGGAACTCACCATTTCAGATTTGATTTTTAAGTCATTAGAATAAGAACTCACCATTCCGGATTTGATCGGAAGCAACTGTTCCTCTCTGAAATCACAACGAACTCGATCATCATCGGTGATATATAGTAGTAATGGAAATGATGGAGGAGAGAGAGAGAGAGATTTACAGTAAGCGATGCTCCGAGAGGAAGAAGACGGCGAGAGTAAGAAGTCATAAAGTCAGCTTTTTCATGAAAGGAGAGTTATCTTTTTTTTTTTTTTTTTTCTCTTTTCCTTTTCTGAGAGTGGTGGTGGACTTTGAGGGAAGAAGATGATGACGTCATTATTATACGAGAGAATAAAGATAATGGCGGTGTTTAGGGTTTATCGTCGACGGCGTCGGCGAGCGAGATAATTCCGGGGAACTTATTTTTCGGATGATTTCCTTATTAGTATTGGGCCTTGTGGGCTATATATTATGTAACTTTGTATTTTATTTATTTATTTTGGGCCTAATTATTTATCCAGGTAGCAATTTTGGAAAATCCAATGAATGTGGGAAATTAAATGGAGCTTATTTCACTAATTATATGTTTTTATTGGTTCATAGTTCATACATTTTAGTTGATTTGTATAAATCCATATGATTAGAATGTTTTCTTGATTATTAATTTAAGATATTTGGATTTTGAAGTACCATAAATAATATATATCCACGGATTTTAGTAAATTTTAGAGTGTATATAAATAAATAAATTGTATCTATTTTGATGATAATTTTCATGAATTTTTTTGTGTAAAAAGAAATGTTTAAAATCATAAACCAATAACATAATAATTTAATTCCTTAACAATCAAAGATTCTTTTTTATAAATTAATTAACAAAAACCTTATAATAATTTTTATAAATTCTGAATCCAATAATTTATGGAAGCTCCCTTGGTCCAGTGGTTAACGAAGTGTTATTTAAAACTTCCACACCCAGAGGACAGGGGTTCGACACCCAAATAATGCGATTTATTAATTTGCAGATTAAGGAGACAAGTTTACTGGAGTTCTATAATAATGCACAATTAGAGCCGTTCGCCGTGATTCTTACGCATAGAGAATGAGGTATCGTAAGAAAAGGTGTAATCTGTGGTGAATCTAATAGGATCGGACAGAATTGTCGGTAGTAGAATCATCATTATAACAATTCTCATAATTTGCAATAAATAATAAATCAAGAGTTAGAAAAAAGAATTCAATAATCTCTAAATGAAGATTTTAAATAAAGTTTTACAAATCAATAACTAATATCATCAAACTTTAAAATATTTTAATAAAATCTTGACTGAATATAATAACAACATATTATACACAACATTTAAAGTCAGTCATTAAGGAACATAATGGAGTTTTAAATATATCTGAATTATTTTTCCTCCTTCTTTTGTCTTGTCGTCGTATTATATATCAGTTTGATACAAGAAATTAGAAAAAAAAATGAGCTAACTAAAAATTAACTCACTCGAAACACATGAAAAGAGATCTTCGATCGAAGAACAGATATGCAATTCTTTTCACATTAGGTCCCAAAAGTAAAATCGATTATTCTATAAGAACTCTTACATTGTTCATCAAACTAGCTAGACAACTTTTGTAATCTTCGATTTTTTGCTTTTAAAATTTTATAATTGTTCCAGTGATAATATTCAGTTTTCAGTATTAATAAAAAAAAATCATTTTAAAGGAAATCATATGTATTCAAAACTTTTCGTACATCGTTTGGTAACAAAGTAAATGCATACCCAAATAAAGTTTAAAATTAGTCAACAATTTACAAATATACTATTGACTGTCTTAAATATATAAGAGACTTAAACCTTTAGATTCAAATTTTGTTAATCATTGTTTATTAACACAATAAATACACACCCAAATCAAATTTTGCATTAGTTAACAAGTTCGAGATATATAAATAGAAAAAAACAACTGTTGACAGTTTTAGATATATAAAGAACTACGTATAAGAATACACATCCAAATCAAGTTTTTCATTAGTCAACAATTAGAGTTATATAAACAGAAATAAATCAAATTTTAACAAAAATATATAAACAGATATATATATATTCTATACACACATGTTAATATAAATTCATAGTGTCAGCCTCCAAAAATTTACATGAGAAAACTATCTCTCTCTACAGTTAGGATATTTCTGAAAGTTAAATCACTTTCTAGCTTTTTTTTTTTTTTGCGTTAAACTTTGAACTTGTACATTGAGTGGTTTCACTATCTGAATCCAACAATTAACAAAAGAGTTTCTAGTTATAAGGTAGAACATAAACTTCTTTAAACTCGAAGGGAATTGGGTAGCAAGTGGTGTTTTTGTGTTTGATTGCTTAGCGTTTCTAATTAAGAACATATATAGCAGTGGACAATCAGACAATCACTAACACAAAATTTTAGAGATCCATATTAATATTTGTTCCATATATTTTGAAGTTTAGTAATATTAATATATGTAGTAATTGGTCATATTAGTTATTAACAAAAATATGCTGAATTTATAAAAATAATTATAGAAAAGGAAAAGTAGTCATAGGAAAAAAAAGATCAACATAAAATTACGCGATATTATATCATTTTAATAATATATATAATTAATTGAAAATATATAGATTTGCTAAAAAAATTCTCAATTTCTTGGCAACAGTTCTAAATTTTTTTGCTCATTTTCTGCTTTGGGTATAAAAACCTCCGAACCTATTTTATTGGAGGACTACTATGTTTTCTTTCAACAGTTTGAACCTTTACTACACCAAACGACGGAGCCAGTTATCCTAGGTCAAGTTATGTTTAGTTTAAGTGTATTTAAATTTATCACTTAGATTTTTTACAGCATTTTAGTCAAAATGATCATTTCTAGTCAAAAATCAAAATAATTTACATTAAGTAATATCTATAAAAAGCATTAAAATCTTCTAAGTGTTAAATTTACGATACGTGAAAACATGTTGAACTTTCACACCAAACTGACGGACCACAAAGGGACTGGATGATAGGTCCGGTTTGTTTTCAACGTATTTAAATTTAACACTTAGTAACAAAAGAAAAAAAATTTGATGAAAGATTAAAACTATTTACTTGAAAATTATTTGGTAAAAACATTGATATTTAGTTTTAAATCACTAAATCAGAAGTGAAAAAACATAATTTATTTTCTATTTTTTTGTATATTTTTAAATTAAAATCATTATTCTTAACTAAAAAGAAAAAGGTAAGAAAGTATAGTATAATACCTGCAATTTGAAACCACAAACTAGAGGGAGCAAGCTACCTGTTTCTTCCAACTACCATGAGAATCAGAGATGTGTCATCTTTATTTCTGAATAACACACAAATTTATTAATTCTCCCAATCAAATTAAAAGATGATGAGTATTACGAACCTGCTAATACCTTGATTCACTGTATAATCCTCCTCTTATGGATTGCTTCTTTTGTCCAACGATATAAACAGAACTTGTCTTGACATACTTGGCTGTCAAGTAATGGCCAGTGCGTATCAAGTGAGCCACTTATGTTGATGTAGTTGTTAAAATGAGTGCTGCACATCTTCAGGTTGAACCTTGACATTTATCCGGACTAGCTGCTGTCTTAACATTTTCTGCAGAGTTCATCCCTCTGTTAGTTGTCTAAAGCAGCAATAAACAAAAGGGATAATCACTCACTGTTTTGCTTGACGTTCAAACAATGTGAGGTGATCTTCCATCAATGTGTCCAAACCTTGCTCTAGCCTCCTCTGGTTTGAGCCTCTCTAGACCGAATAAAGCAATTCGCAACTACTATGAGACTGATCCATTTGCTTAATGAGAGAGAATAGATGAGAAACTGCAACTACTAACTAATCTGCATCATTACTTACTTAGTTATACAAAACCAAGAATAGAGACTGCAACTCTAGTACTTAATTCTACATGATGATCATACGTATATGGAAGAAAAAAGATTAGCCTAGTTGTATAATGGAAATTGGTAGCAAGTTTAAGCCTACCCTTAACTACATTATCTAACCAAAGCTAACAAGTAAGGGCGTACCTGAGAGAGAGCATGGGAAACTTAAGAGAATCTTCTTCAAGCAGTTGAAATCAGAATTAACTATGAGCATCTTCGCCATCTGTGGATCCAAGGCTCTCCATCAGCGTATCAGGAGCAGGGGACTCAATTAACTATGAGAACTGTGTTTGCAAGGTTTGACCTCAATATTTCAGTATAGGTCTACGGCTGCAATCATTACTGAAACGCTTCTCTGTATAAAGCATGTACGTGAGCAGCACTTTGCCTTTGAAATCTGGGATACCAACAATGGATCCGCACATTGCTTCTCTCAGGAACATAGCATCAGTCAAGAACCTAGTCATATTAAGTAACATATGATTAGACACCAAGTACATAAAGAAGAGAGTCTAAGAGAGACAAATGCTTACTTAAGCACGGTTCTGTGACGCTTGAACCAACTTCTTCTTCCCCAATACGCAAATCTACGAGGCTGTCATGTTTTGTGATGAATCCAATCCAACAACTAACTAGTAAGTTTCAGCATCCACAACATCTCTATATTACAAATTAGGTATTCATTCTCTAGACACTAAACATCATCTCTAACTAAACCATTCCTAATAATATAACTCTAGATATCAAATTCAGATCCAAAGAAGACAAGAGGACTATTTACGAATACCTCAGATTGATTCGATTCCTCTCTTCACTTTTGAATTCGCTCGTCTCCGTGAAATCTCGATATTGATTTTAGATTGAAGAAGAAGAACAGAGGAGATCGATGGAGATCAGATCTGATCGATCATTCAATCAATTAAACGCCACGTCACGGATCATATCATCGCCTTGGGTTGCTTTTATTTCAATACGTCTCTCCACTTTGATTGGATCATCATCATCGGAATTCAAAAAAAATTGATGGATTTAGGGTTTAGAAGAAGAAGAAGATGAAGAAGAAGAAGAGTTTTGATTTCTCTCTCAAGGCAAAACGAAGAAGAAGAAGCGTTTGAGTTTTAAAAAAAAAAAAAAAAGGGAATTTGATATTAATGTCTCACAACGGTCAGATTAATAAGAGATTTCGTTTTCTTCATCGCAACGGTAACAATATTACGTGTTTTTTTTTACTGGTTTACAACGGTCACCTTTGTTACTGAACTTTCAATATTTTTTTTAAGAGTTATCTTATTTTCAAGATAAACTAGGGATGGACCCGCACGTACGTGCGGGGTTGATTTCTAAAGTTTGTATTACATACGTGCGTGCAGGGTTGATTTCAATATATTACATACATGCAAGGTTAAGTTTGTAAACATATTTTTAAATAATAGTATTTAATTCATAATTAGAAGAATTCGTACCAGTTTCATGTTATTTTTAATTCGATTTAGATAAAGAAATTATCATATTTGTTTTTGTTAAGGTAAGAACATTACATAAAAGAGAAATAGTACAAAAAACCAAAAATGTGACTATTTCATAACCGTAGAGTCCCATCCATATATATCATGCTTTTCCATCTTACAATAGTGGTTTGAATACTCATTTGAGATTATATATTTTAGTCTAACATATAAAAACAATAGGTAAGAGATTAAGAGCCACACATACGTTTGCTTTGCTTTCTTCAAATTTTGAATGTTTGAAATAATAATCGCTTTAAATCGACATGATAGCGGACACGGATCAAGTGTAAACCTGATTAGTGATATTCTAGATTTCTATATAAATCTTAAATTATCAAACCAGGTAAAAACAACAAAAAACACTTTTTTTTTTGAAACAAATGACCTAAATATAGTTGTCAAGCGAGTTAAACTCGTCCGCTATGTCTGGCCTGCAACGAAATAAAATATTTTAACCCGCAAAAAACCCGTTATCAAAATTCACATGAGTAAATAGTATCTATGTATCTCCCTTAGTTGAATTTGCGTTATCCAAATTTTTTGCCTAATATTTTACCAGCATTATTTAGATACTATTTTTTATTATTTTCTGAATTACCCGCTCTCTCCATGTACCCATTATTTCATGTTCTAATATTTAAAAGAGATAGGAAATTTTAGCTATTTAAATTTTATGCTTCTGTATTGTACCCGTAACTTGATATTTGAGAGTCAAAATTGAATTAAACTATCCAAATTGGTGAATTTGGTCTCGTTACTTTTTTTTGTAGTCCTCTCTTTTTATTAAAAAATGTTTAGATGTTTTTGTTTTTACAAATTAAATATCACTACCAACATTTTTTTATTAAGTCCATTATCTAAAATTTATGTCCCATAGTTTCTCAAGAATGGTTCGGAATCACACCCATATGGTGGATAATGTTGTAGAATTTTATTTGGTATAACTTTCAAAATCAAAATTTATGCTCGTTTCGTTTAAATAAGAAGTTCAAAACATATAGTTTAATATGTAGATGTTATACGCTCGATTTTGAATCATACAAAATATATTTCAATATATAGATTTAATATCGATCGGTTTAATATCGATCGGTTTAGATTTTATTATTAAGATTTTAATAAATGGAAATTTGAACCGAGGAATCTACACTAATTAGTTAAATTTATTAGTTTCCTAAATTATAGGATCGATCAATATTTTTATAATTAATATGAAATATTTTTACGGTTTGTTTCTCCACATTTATGGTTGACTATTATTTCTCAGTTACGAAATTATATAATTTCCTCGCAAGTACAAAATATATTAGCTTAAGATATTCTATATGATATGGAATGTTGATTCGCTAGATTTTAGCAAAGAAATTTTAAATTATTGATTTATTTTCAGATTTTAAATTTAAACATTTTTTGTTATATGTTTAAAATTATATAGTTTTTTAAATTTTAAGATATAATAAAATATGTTGTATATTTCTGCATATTTTATGCTATACAAAATTTGATTAGTCGTTTATTTCTTAATCTAAAATATTTTATTTTTATTTTTTTCCTAAACTATCATCTTTCTTTTCCATAAAATTATATAATTAATATTATATAATGATTTTTTATAAGTTTAGCATTATATAATGTTTTTCCATAAATTTTCCATAAATCCTTAAATATATGATGATTTTTTATTACATTTCATTAAATATATATTTAGTGTTTTCAAAAATTTCGGAAAGTATATAATTAATATTAAATATGTTTACATATGTTTAATTTTGAATTTAATTGTCCACTTTTTATGGTAACAAACTTAATATGGTTTCCATAAATATAGATAATTCATAATTTTGGTTTTATTATTTATTTATTTAACTATATTTTGTTGCTGTCTTTAAATGTGTTTGGCAATAGGTTTGCAATCACATTTTTTCTAATATTTGTTTTTCAGGTTTGTTTGGCAACAAATACTAAAAATGATCCCCAATTAATAGTATAGATATATTAGGATGATTTGTGGAAAACTTCTAGATATAATTTTTAAGCAGTATAAATATTTCAAATTTAATTTTTTACTTTGTTGATCCACAATGATCTACATTGCAATTTTACTTGATTCATCCATATAAGTTTGCTGCTAAATATATTATATATATATATATATATATAAAATATCATATTTTATATGTTATAAATGATTCGCGAACCGTTAGAGATATGATAATGATTTGAACGAAAACATATATAAAATGAGAATTTCAAATATGGGTCGAGTTTGTTATCGGTCTAATTGATACAGAGCAATTTCAAAGGAGCTGAACCCTAAGTCCTAAAACTCATATGTCATGTCGATACATTCCGATTCTTTATCTCTTTTTTTCGATTCCATAACCAAACCAAAGACTCGCTGCAAAATATTCATTAGCACCCAAACAAAATATTTATCGCACACCCAAATAAAAATATTTATAGAACACCCATATATTTGGTTAGAACAATATTTATAGGACACCCAAATAAAATTAGTTAACTATTTAAAGATAAATATATTATGTGTCCTTTGCATTCAGAAGTCGAAGCTTTGGTGTGGGCGATGCGTTGCATGATAGGTCACAACTTCAGAGATGTGGCTTTTCTCACAGACTGCTCGGATTTGGTGAAGATGGTGTCTTCCCCGCTTGAGTGGCCAGCGTTTTCTGCATATTTGGATGACATAGCTGTTGACAGGGAGGAATTTTCTACCTTTTCTTTGTCTCTTATTGCTCGGAGTGCTAATACCAAAGCGGATAGCTTCGCACGGAATGTCCGTACGACGCCGCTTCCTGTTCTGTATGTGAACGATTGTCCCCCTAATTGGTTTTTATAAGCCAATTCTATAGTTATTGTTGAAAAAAAAAAAAAAAAAGATAAATATATTATGTGTATCTTTCTAGCCAAATATATGAAATATGCGAGAAATTAAATATGAAACATAAATTTGAAAATTTAGTTTCTTATGCAATGCATTAAAATATATCGAGGGATTGGCTTAGCTATAGGTTTCCATTATGAGAGATATGGTGAGTTATTACTTATTCCAGAAGCAAGCACCATATCTGAGAGCATGAGATCGATATTGTTAACATGAGATATTTATCTTTACTTTTCAAATTATATGACAAGGTCTTTAGAGTAGTGTAGTAATCGTATAGAGACAGAACCTTGACAATGATCTTGTGTCTTTTGCAGGTCCTTTGGTAAAAAAAAAAAAATTTGATAAAACGATCATGTACGTCGAAGATCAACAAACACCATTCAAATCCAAAACATTACAGTACGTTAATTTATGGTGACACTTAAATCAAGAGCTAAGGCTTCACCATACTATTATTACATTATGACCATAGACGAAACTTATGTTCCGTATTCATATGGGTTATGGGTAATAGGTGAACTTGTTCAGCGTGAACAGTAAATGAAACCGTCTATGTAAAATTTAACTTCCCTTTGTAATTTTTTTTATGTGTCATTCTAAATCTTTCGGACTATGCTATTTTACCCGACCCGTTTTGTTATCCGGATCGGACTTCGTTGAATCCAAGATCAAACCTCAACAAGTCTCATCACTCCCTTCGTCTCCTCGTTTTGCTTACTTGGTTTCCGGATCCGCCGGCGACGGCAAGTCTCTCCGGCGAACTCTAATTTGGCCTCTTTACCATCCGAATAATCGGTATGTTGTTCATTATGCTATTAAGTTTAATATAGTATGTATTGTAAACTATATGATATGAGAAAAGGTTTAATTTATCTATCAACTTCCTACTTTTTCCCATAAATTTTAAAGTAAAGAGTGATATATCTTTGGACGTTATCATCCCTTGACCTCGACTTCGGCTTTTACATTATGCGGCTTTGGCTTCAAACTTTTCTAATCAAATACTTTAAAAGTTCCCCACTTTTCAAAAACCAGTTACGAACATTATATTAGATTAAACCATTTTCCAATCAGCTAGGTTACTTCTATTTTCAGATATTAACAACTACGGTTATGAAAATAAAAATAAATAAAATAAGTAAGCAAATGATACTATTTTAGTTGGATGATACCAAGAACAAAACTCCAGAAATCAATCGGACCTTTCAAAGTTCAAACCATAACACTCTTAAAATTAAAATAAATATACATGAATATGTGAGAAAGAAGAAATATCCAAAATAAAAGAATTAAAGATGGTTTCTTTAGCTTGATTTTCTTATGGTGCAATTGTCGGAAATCAATTTTTTTGAATCCCATCAATAAAATAATTTTTTATAACCATAAAATATTATTATACATATGTATTACATTTTAAAATATAAAAAACAATGAAGAAATACATAAAACAAAATATAAATAAAATTGAAAAACAAAAGTTTAAACCAAATATTTAATCAAACTCTTATAATGACATCTTAATTGAATTTTCATCCCCATACAAGAATTGTTTTAAAGAAACAAAGAAAATAATGAAGATGTGAGATTTGGTAGAAAAAGATGTGAGAATGGCTATTTATAGGATAAGAGGTGATGTAAGTTACAATTTTAAAATAATTAAATTAGAGGAGTCATAATTATAATTTACTAGTTTAGTACCCGTCCGATGGACGGGTTATCTATATTTACAATTAAATTAAAATTAAAATTTATTATAACTTATTAAAAAAATAATATCCAATTTTTTAAAAAAAAAATAAGAGAAATTAATTTCATTTGGTAAGAAATTTATTTGGTTTGAAGTATCAAATAAACGTGTATATATATATATATATATATCTTAAAATTCCTTATTAAACGTTAATTATAAAAATCTAGTAATGTCAAATTGACAATCACCAAAACATTTGGGAGCTACAGTAAAACCTCTATAAATTAATAATATTGGGACCATGAAAATCTATTAATTTATAGAAGTTTTAATTTTTCGATAAATTAATTAGAGAGATTTTCCTAATTTGGAAAGTTTTTCCAAAAAAAATTAAAAATAAAATCTAACAAAAACTAAAGTGTCTACATAAACATATATTTTGAAACTTTTACCTAATTATTAATTTATAATATTGATGGGACTATATATTTACAAAGGATTTGCAAAAAAAATTTTATCTTATTATTTTATCAAAATGTGATTAAAATTACACTGGTCCGAGTTGGGACCAGAGAAATTTATTAATTTATAGCGAATATTAATTTCTCGAGTATTAATTTATAGAGGTTATATTTGGGAGCTATTCACCATTACTCATAATATTGCTAAAATATTTTTAAAAATCCTAATTTAACAATTATCCTCTAAAACATGATTATACCATTTTGTATAAAAAATTATTTCTTAACTTTAAAATTTCAAAAAATCATTCTCAGACTATGAAAATTAATTAATTATTATTTAATATGATGGTCAAGTTCTTTCAAATTAACATCAGTCTAAAATATGATGTTAAATAAAAATATAGTCATTTGTAAATAAATTCATATAAACAATGCAAATAAACATAAAGATTCTAAAATAAATTATAGCATCGTTGAGGAAAACATTATAAAATCTTTCAAATACGAATTATAAAAAACTACATATTTTCTTTGAAAATATTTAAAATTACTATATTACGATTTATATTGAACTTTGTTATCTTTAATTTAAGCTAAAAATATTATTTTTGAAATTGTTTTATTCACTCTTATGTTTTAGACAATAAAATTGCTCAATGGCATAATACATTCATACATAAATTAAAATTAAACAAATATAACATATTATAAAATAAAAATCATGAATAAAATTATATATTTAGTTAAACTCAAAATCTAATTTATTTGTAAAATGTAAATCCTAATTCTCCTTTATGAACCCAAACTAATAAATAACCTTGTTTA